TGGACCCCTAATATGGTGCTTCTCTTACACCTTTATGAGGTAGACATTCTCCTCACTTTTGTCTCGTTACAGCCCTTTGGGAGATTTAAAAAAATAAATAAATCTGTGTTACTTTTCTGTGTCTCCCCACCTTTCCCTCTTTTCTTGCCTCCCTCCACCCTCAAACTGGTTAGCAAGGAAGCAAAAAGAATGCATAGGTAACAATAAAAGACACTTTTCTGAAGAACTGACACACCCAGCTACTGCCAAAGTGAGCTATCTCCTTTCAACGTATGTTTATCTGCTGCTAAACACACCAAAACAGCTATCATACATTAAAAACAGTCCTTTCAAGCTATTTAATAAAGTGTACTGTGCATTTACGACTCCTTAACCAGAAAACCATACCCTAATGGATATATTTCAAGTTCCTGACCCAAACCCCTTAATTAACTGTAAAACCAACATTCTCATTCTTTCATTCTTTTTCAGAGAAGTATTATGTTAGCAGATTTGGAAGTTAGTTCTGAAGGGAACTGTTTTTATAGTGCCACAGATCCTGAGGCGGGGGAAGTCATTTTCTATTCCAAGAAAACATCCACCACTAGCAGTGAGAAGCAGACCTCTGGATTTTTTTTTTCTTTTGAGCCCTAATGATTAGTTTTTATTCCATAATCACAGAGCGCCCCTTTCACCTGATGATTTCTGTTCAGCCTTCAACATATTTCCTTTCCTGCTTCATCATTCATCAGCTATGAGGTCATTAATTTTAAATGAGAGATTTTCAGTAACCAACAGAGAATTTCTTTGTAAATCAAAACTTCYCCAGCTGATAAGTTAATTTGTCAGTAGGCAACTCAGCAATCCTTTTGTTTTGTGTGCAATTCTCCAGATAGTTCGCTCAGTTGACACCACGGAAATAGGGATCAGCATTTGCCAAGGGCCTTCAGTCTTGAGGGAGGTCCTAAAAGAAAACAGAGATGACATATTTTTCCCTGTGCCCTCAAGGTCTCTGTACCTACAACTATCATGGTTCTACTGTCTGCTGGAATATGTTTGATCATCCTGCCAATGTATGGATGTGTGCCAAAAAAATGTGTATGGCCATTAAGGAACACTTGTTCTCTGGTTGAAAGGGCCCCTTACACATGTCTGTCTGAAAAACTTGCACAAAAGCTTAATATCCAAGATATGACAGCTAACAAACTCGTTACAATCCGTAAAGGGGAGGGAGTACGAGGGATAAACCAAGGAGAATTCAGTGTCCCCTGAATCTTCACATTAAAAGAGACACAAAGGGGAAAAAAAAGAAAAAGTAGTTTTGGAGATAGCAATTAAACGATCATTTTTTCAAATCAAGTGTTGAAAAAGTTGAAATATATAAGAAAGCGCAGTGCAATTTCTGTGAAAAAAAAATGCAGAGCCCAGTGAAGCTCAACAAATTGAAACATGCTGAATTACCATGTGCCTCTCTATCCAAAGAAATCTTCAGGACACATTGTCTCTTCTGTTATGGCCTGATTTTGACCTATGCAAATTGTAAGATCAAGGAAAGGGAGTGGAGCAAGCATGTGCTTGCTTCAGCAGTCCTCTAATAGCATATGTGCTATCCGAGTTAGAAGAACCTGACTTTGGTCTAAGGTGACCTGGGCCTAGCCTGAGGAATAAAGAACATGATGCTTTCTTCATTCTTCCTGTGCTAAGCAGACCTTTGGTACGGCAAGATGCTTAACCTAGCAGGCATATGCCAGAATCATGACTTTTACAGTGAGTACTACCTCTCATATTGGACAAGCAACAATGACAACAAAAACTAATAGCAAAGTATTTTTCTGTCTTTGACACTGTCAAATGTAGTCTCCCTTAATATTGCTCTAGTGGTTGTAAAACTAACACTTATTCATGTACCTCTTACATGTAAGAGACACTACTAAGACTTCCCAAAAGGAAGACTGGATGCAGACAGAACTGTGAACAGCTTCTATATGCTTGTTTTTTTGTGTGTGCATGGAGTTTTTAATTGTTGTTTTGGTTATGTTTGTTTTATTTATTCATTCTGGACTTCTGTCACAAGGAAAAAAGCAGATTATCTGCCCRTGCATTTATGACCAGGAGAGGCCACTGGTGACAGCAATGTGCTTGAAAGAGCAGCAATGACTATTCTGTAAATGAACATCTGCTTTCCCTTCTGCTTCCTCACTACTTCTGCCTTTCTCTTTGCTTTTGACCATGCCAACCCCACAGCTGTCCTTTTTCCATCTCTTTTTCATGTCAGAAGGGAACTTGGTTCTTCATACCTTCTTTCTGACTGCCATAGCACTGCTTCTCCTTGGCTCCAGACTGTCAGGATCACAGCTCAGGCGACTGAGGATTAATTATAGAGCTGTGCAAAAAACAAGGCCTTGAGTATGAGAATTATTGCTGATGCTACAAAATATTTTGTCTGGGTTTAGCCACAGGGCCCRATCCCATCAGCAAGCCACATGCAGACTTCCCATTAGCTCTATGGGTGTTCCACAGACAGATGGGTTGAGACTACCAACTCCTTTCAGGAGTGTCCAACAGATCTGCACGGGGTTAGGAATGACGCATGCTAACATGTGATTCTCCATATGTAATGAGAATTTGGTCTTACTGTTGAAGGGTTGAAGTTGTTGGAGAAACACACTTCCCAGATCCTTTCCCAGACTTTTATGATTCGGTATAGTTAACTGGAAATGCAAAAGCCAGTCGAGTCAYTGGGTGGCTGCTCATATGGAATTTTGATGCATATGTGATGGGGAAAGAGATCAGCTTGGAGCATATTTTCAACTATCAAAGGTATGCTGGGCAGGAAAGCTAATTGTGTTGCTCGACATTCAAAAAAGAAAGCTTGAAAGCTGTCTGTCTAGTGTGTGAATGTGTGTGTTGAGCTTGTGTATGTGTCTATTACAGTAAAGTAAAAATATCTGTCAACAACAAAAAGAAGAAAAAATAAAGGAAAGATGTCAGTACTATCTTATGGGGATTTTTCCCTTTGGTTTCTAGCTAGTAATATTCTCCATTCGTTTGCACTTCAAGGCGTTTTCAAAGAAATGTTTTCATAAAACAGACTACCACACACACACACACACACACATATACAAAAAACTCTCCCAAAGCAAGACACTCCATTGCACATGCCACATCTCAAGGGAAAGGATGAGACAATAAGCAGCACATAACAGATGTTATTCACGTTGCTTCACTCACTGTTGCAAGGCACTCAGACGCTGCAGACTTCTGAGCACGATGAGAGCACCTAAAGACACAGAATAGGAGCAATAGTGATAAATCTTATTTAGGGTAAAATAATAAGAGAAAAACAAATTAGTTTCTTATATAATCATAGGCAAGATATTTAAAAAGTTATAATTTTGAATCACTACAGCACTTACGGTAACATATTATTATAAACAAACTTTCAATAAACTGGAAGTTAGCAAAGATTTCAGATTATTTCAAATTTCCRTATCCATGCAAAATATCAATCTTGGTAACAGCTTATAAGGAATATCTGGAGCTATGTTAGCTTTGAATCACGGAGTTCCAAAGGAATTTTTTATTACAGTTTTGGCTCCAGTGCATTCACACCATGTGGGTTTTTGCTTTGAGTTTTAGGTTTGAATGGACCAAGTACTTCAAAGCAAAACCCTAAATCAGGAAAATTCACTGAGTTTCATATGCTTTCCACTCAAAACCATACCTTGGCCCAGATTCCCTCACAACTGAGCCCAGCCTTGCTTGAAACACAGCCCACATTTGTTGAAAACATTTACAAATCCCATCAAAACTGGCCTGATCTTCAAGTTTGTAATAAAACTCAAAACCAAGAGTTCTGCTTGGCTTTAAATGTCTGTCTGTTCTATTAATTTCCACTTGTTTCTGTTAAAAATAACAAAAAAGAAGAAAAAGTATAATTTGCACTGATTTCTGCCTGTGACACTGGTAAATCTGGAATAATTGTATAAACTTATCAAGGTTATTCTGGTTTTGCATAAGGACAATATGTGCAGGTTTAGTAGAGGTTTTATTACGACAAAGATGGAAGCTGGATATATTCTGAGGCCCAAGCTCCAAGACGTTATATCTGTCTTTCCAGATTTGTGTGCAGTGCTTAAAGCATCTCCATGCTGTGCCACGCCAGCCGACAACGTCAAGTCCTTCAGACTCAAGCCCAGCTCCTTGTTCCCTCTTTGCCCACACTAATACACTGATAGCTACRTGCCGACCAGCTTTAGAGGCTTTGGGTTGTTTTCAGGTGAGTTAGCCCTTGGAAGGGGCTCACTAAGTAGCATTTAAGGTGATCATATTGAGTAAGGGGAATGAGGAACATGCAGATAGGACACCAGCAAGGGTGGTGGTACAGTAGCCTTGATTCAGAGTGCCCAGACCACCCCAAGGCCATGCTCAGGCTAGCAAAAATAAGACCATGTGAATTCTGCACTCATTATAGGGGCTCTGCTACCATCTCCCAGCACATCACAGATCTGCTAGGACGTAATCTATTGGGCACCATGAAGAGTAAAATCATGAACACCTACTGCCTGGTCCATTAACAAGTCGTATTGTCCAAGGAAAGCCCAGCCTGATCAAACAACAGAGTCCATGGCTTTGGTGCACAGCAAGTCTGTCAGCCAGGTCACAGGAAAGGTCTACCCCACAGAGAGATATCAGTCTGAGCAAGAGAGAAGACATTGCAAAATGCACAAAAGGACATTATGGTTGCAAAGAAATTCAAGCTCTAGAGTGCTCAGAAATTACAGGGATGTTCTGTGACAGGTTAAAATTCAAAGGCAGAGAGATTTTTGTTCTGGATTGTCTTAAGCCTGGTTATTCCTTTTGTACTCCCATCCTTGCAAATCTTCAAAACAAAAACTCACTTTGATGAGCGACAGATGCAATTACATTATAAATATAGGCCAGACTCTGCAATTCTGTCTTTCAAAAGGAGCCCTTTGGGCTCTGGTTTTTATATTATTATTATTATTATTATTATTATTACTATTACTATTATTATTATTATTATTATTCTCTCCTTTTCTCTAGGGAAGCTAATTGAACTGCAGGCTACAAAATCAGGTCTGGAGGATTGCATTTGCTCCCTTTTTATAAGGAACCTGTTTCTAAAGACAAGTTTTCTCTGTCTCACACCTTGCCCTTCTTTATCCCTGAATTATGAATGAGATGTTAAGCAGAGTGCAGCTTTGAAAAGTGCCTTCAGAAAGCAACAAAAATATCTCCTGACACCACAATCTCCCTAAATGGCTCCAGCATTTTGCCACGGTGTTTTCTTTTATTCCAAAATGAAAACCTAGAAGTGCCTTACGGGTGGTGCTATCCCGGCGCTGCCTCCAGTGCTCCCTCCACCGGGGCCCTTTTCCTGGGCGCAGTGAAAAGTGTTATCTCACGGCCACCTGCACCAGGAGCCACGAGAAGATGTGGATGGTGCATCTCCAAAAAATAAGAAAAAAAATGGGGAAAATAAAAAAATAAAAAAAAAAAAAAGAAAAGGAATGGGGGAAGCAGCTTTTGCGGCTCCCCCTCGGGTGCCCTGGGCCCGGGAGCGCAGGCGAGCGAGCAAGCGAGCGGCGCCCGCCGCAGCCGGGCCGCAGAGCTGTTTGATTGCTTAAGCCCGGTGGCCAGACAATGGCACCAGAAAGAATGGCCGCTTCCTTCCTTCCTGTCGAGTGTTCTGCCTGAGTGAGCAAATTCAATAGCGCTCCGCTTCGCCGCGACACTCGGCTCCCTCGCGCAGGCGAAAACCAACAAAAGAGCCATTCTAGGGCATTTCCAACTGCACCTAAGCCAACGCGCTGAGCTGTGGAGCCATCCGGCCCCGGGGAAGGGGGGCGGCGCAGCTCGAGGCCCTGCGGCCAAGGAGCAGGAAGCCTCCAGGTTATTGTTCGGGGCCAAGGGCGAGGGTTTTGATGTTGGGCCCCAGGTGGATTCTCACCCGCTCTGCATTTATTTGTATTCTTTTCTATTCTATCCTATCCTATCTTATCCGATCCTTTCATTTTTATTTTATTTTATTTTTATTTTTATTTTTTATTTTTATTTTTTTTTTTTTTGCTGGGGATTTTTTTGAAGTATTTTGCCCGCATTCACTGTTTTAAGCCCCATCACATCATGACTTTCTTGAAGTAGCGCGGGGGAGCTACGTGGTGCTCAAGCATAGCTGAACTAGGAAATGGTGACGTGGAAGCCTCTCAGTGTAAAACTCAGGCTTGCTATTTTTTTCCCTCAGACCCCAAAGTAGTCGCTCAGTTAAGTTGAAGGCAGCAATGGAAATAAAGTATGTGTCAGGCAAGGGAAATGCCCGAGGAGAGCAGGTGAGCAGATGACAAAGATTGCACTGGAGTGGGCAGAAATTAAACCATCGCTCTATATAAGCTCTGTAAGAAGGAATATATGGGACATATTACGTGTTATATAGTATAAATCCATAATTATGGACTGTGCTTTTGCTCGTATTAGGCCCTCCCTGCCCTGCAGATCCCTCTCTCCAGCTGAGTGMTCTGCCAGGCTCCGCAGAGAAGGAACATTGTGTAGCTGGAAGACGAGGACGCTAGAGGCATATGCCAGAGCTGCCAGTCAGAAGTCACTTTTTTGTTTTGTTTAGTTTTGTTTTTTTGTGAGCATGGTTTTTTTAGACCTTCAGGCTTTGCAGGACAGAAGCTTGTCCTGGGGGGATCCAGGACTCCTGCAGCGAGGCATCTGCTCATGAGGCACAAGCGTGGCGTGGGGCACAGCTATGGCAAGGGATGTGTCCCCTTGGACACCTGGGGTTGTGTGATTCAGTATGTGAAGGAAGGAGAAGGGAAAAGCACAGAAAGTAGCTGGAAAAAAAAAAAAGTTTCCATGGGATCTTTGGGGTGATCCCTGACTCGTTGCCTCTCTCCTAAAAAAAAAAAAAGTTGAGATTTTTTGAACAAAGTGAGATTTTGCACTTGCCTGCTGCATCTGTTTGCTCAAGCAAAGACCTGTTTGTTTTTCCCCTTGTGCCTGAACCGTATTTGAGCCAAGTTACATCAAGCCTGCTTCTTTTCTCTTCTACTTCTGAACTATGACAGATTATCCTAAGCCATCTGCAGGCATGATTAGAAATATGAAAATCATTTTTACTTTTCTTTTGAACTATCTTTGATATAGTACTTGCTGTCAGATAATCTGTAGAGTTTTAACATCTGGTAATGTAAAATAGTGTGTTATTGGAGCTGAAGAAGGAACCATTTAGATATTTTTATAGCTTTTTTTTTTTTTTGTGACATCCAATATGGCAATTGTGGCTTCAGTTTACAATAAATTTGTGGTAGTATAGTTAGAGCTAAATTATTCATTTTTATGCAGCAGAACATATAAACCAGAGGATAGGAAAAAATTCAGCACAGAGGATCTTTATTAAGATATACATACTGCTTACATGAGTACACTAAGTGACATTCAAATATGTCATCACCTAATCTTAGGAAACTAGCTCAGACAACTTTCGATTAAGCAATAACCTGTAAATGACAAAGCAATATCTATTTCAGTTGTTGCATAGTGAAGGCTAGATTACTGCAGTTCAAAGATTTTTCTCTTTAAGATCATTCAAAAGCAACATGTAGAGAAAAAAAAACCCTTCCAAATAGGACAGCTATATGGAACTTTATCTTTTAGAATTTGTCTTCAATAAAAAGTCACAAAGACTCTCAATATATCTATTAATGTTCAGTGTCAGCTTCTAGTTAGTAGCAGCTAACTTTGCGTGAGGCCCCATCCTGCTTTGGTTTGCTTTGGTTTGCTTTCATTGTTTTAATCAGTGGAAGAAGCACATGATATCCTGCTGTTGGTTTACTTCTAGCAAAAGTATTAACCTAAGACAAGGGAGCATGCCAAAAAAACTAATTTTTATCCAAATTCAAAACCAGGCAAAGCTACAAGTGCCAATAAGTTACAAATACGAGGAAGAATTTCATTACCACTTGACTGTGGAAAAAAAAAAAAGTGCTTTACAAAAGGTGAACAGATACAGAACAAAAGAAAGTACTCCTACTATATACTCTGGCTGCCCAAAATATAATACTTGTAAGAATTATGTTTATGTTGCTTTTTTACTTGATTTACTCTCTGGAAGCGACATCCAGGTTCCTTCTGCACTCATTTCAATTGAAAGCACATAAAACTGTAAAGAGGTTTCCTGCCTCAATTTTCAAGTTTTCATGCATTCAGCTAGATCACACCAACTCCAAGGGCGCAGACAACTATCTGCCTGTG